TTGGGCAAAGACCCCATAAGGATAGAGAACTACAGACCGTTAACTCTCATGAACGTAGATGCAAAAATTCTCAACAAAATCCTGGCCAATAGAATCCAACAACATATAAAAATAATAATAATACATCATGACCAAGTAGGATTCATACAAGGGATACAGGGATGATTCAACATTTGAAAAACAATTAACCTAATCCACCACATCAACAAGAAAAAGGAAAAGAACCATATGATCATATCAATTGATGCAGAAAAAGCATTTGATAACATCAAACACCCATTCTTAATAAAGACTCTCAAGAAGATAGGACTAGATGGGAAAATCCTCAATACAATAGCCATAAAGGAAACACTCAATGGAGAAAAGCTGAACCCAATCAGGATGCCCTTTATCCCCACTTCTATTCAACATTGTGATGGAAGTCCCAGTCAATGCCATAAGACAAAGGCAAAATATCAAGGGTGTACAATTTGGTAACGTAGAAGTGAAACTTTCGCTATTTGCAGATGATGTGATTTTATATATTGAGAATCCTAAGGGATCCACAACAGGATTGCTGGAGCCAATAGAGGAGTTTAGTAGAGTAGCAGGATACAAGATTAACAAGCAGAAATCAATTGGATTCCTATATACCAGTGATGGAAACACAGAAAAAGATAACAAGGAATCCGGACCATTCACAATAGCCATGCAAAAGCTGAAGTACCTATGAATAAACCTATCCCCCCCAAAAAAGAGACCTGTACAAATAAAACTACAGAACATTATTACAAGAGACCAAAGGGGATCTGCATAAAGCTTCTGATCGGTGTTCATGGATCAGAAGAATCAATATAGTGAAGCAATCTACAATTTCAAAGCAATCCTGATCCAAATTTCAGTATCATTCTTCAAAGAAATGGAAAAACTGATTACCACTTCACATGACAAGGGAAGAAACTCAGTATAGGCAAATAACTCCTCAAGAAGAATAATGTAGGTGGCCTAGCGCTACCTGACCTCAAAACCTACTGTACAGCCAAAGGTGTCATACAGCCTGGTACTAGTATAATGATAGATATTCGGACCAATGGATTAAGTCAGAAAACCCAGAAATAAAAGCATCCACATATAGACAAATGATTTTTGACAAAGGCCCCCAAAACATTTCAAATGGGAAGCAGATGCCCTCTTCAATGAATGGTGTTAGAAAATCTGGATATCCACGTGTAGAAGAATGGAACAAGACCCATTTTTCACTCCATAAACAACACAAACTCAAGGTAGATTAAAGACCTCAAGGTAAAACCCAAGGCTATCAGGACCACCAATGAGAAAATTGAGACAAAACTAGGAGCCCTAGTGCAAGGAATGCATGGACTAACAGAATTCACAAAGCAAGCACACTCCGTGGGAGATACATACATGAAGGGGCTGAGTTAGTTAATTGTGCCAGCCTGGCTGATAATCACATGTGGGGCTAATTGACAGGCGGAGGGATAAATGGGTGATGAGCCTCGCCTTTCTAGTTCTCAGGTCTCTTGTTTTGTGATGGTTGCACAGGGTGCAGCTGCCTTAGCAGTTCCCTGCTTCAGCTTGCAAGATTGACTTCCTACAAGACATCCCCAAGGAGAAGCTACATGGACCTATCCCAATGCAGCCCTGGGTGCTGGAGCAGCCGTGTGGAGACCCCTGCTAGTGCTGAGATGCTTGTTCGTTCACGGACTCAGCTTTCCTCCTGCAGTCGGCATCATTGCCTCTGTTTTGTGAGGTGGAGGACTTTGTGGACAGGTGTTGGGTTAATGGGTTAATGTTGGACTTGTGGGCTTGGGCAGCATTGCGTTGGGATGTTTTTGTGATGCACACTTTCTTTACATAAAACTCTCTTATACATGAGTTGCTGTGGATTTGTTTCTCCAAAGTACCCAGACTAATACAGGGGCCTATTAAAAATAAAGCACTGTGTACCTCGAAAGACTTTATTAAAAGAGTAAAATGAGAGCCTACAGATTGGGAAAAGACAAAGGACTAACCACTAAAATCTACAGAATTTCACAAGCCTACAATAAGAAAAACACTAACAGCCCTCTGCGAAGGTGGGCAAAAGATCTGAACAGATAATACACAAAGGATGACACTCAAATGGCTAATAAACACAAGGAAATGCTCCTGTTCACTAGCCATCTGGTAAATGCAAGTCAAAGCAACTATGAGATACCATCTAACGCTCATTACTATACCCCAATTTCAAAAAACTGAGAACAAATGTTGGAAAGGGTGTGACAAGATCGGAACTCTTATCCACTGCTGGTGGACTTGTAACTATGGAAGGGGATATGGCAATACCTAAAACAGATGGAAATTGAACTACCATAAGCCCCAGCAATAACATTACTAGGCATATATTGCAAAGAAATAAGAAACAGAGCACAAACAGACGTTTGTTCCCCCTGTTCATTGTAGCACAGTTCTCAATGGCAAGAAGCTGGAAACAGCCTAAATGCCCATCAATAGCAGAGTAGATGAAGAAACTCTGGTACATACACACAATGAAACACTACATCTCCCTAAAACCAGCAACGAATCCACGAAACACCTCAATGCATGGAGGGATCTGAAAGACTATGCTGAGTGAAGTTAGTCAAGCACAAATGGGCAAATACCGGATGCGTCTACTGCGGTAGGACAAGCAGCAGAACGGGCACAAGCTCAAGCTTGCAGGGCATCCAGTCTGCTGGCTGGGAATCACACAGCTGGTAAGAGGTAGACCAGTACTAATGAACCACACGGTATCCACTTCAGGTAAGTACAGTGTAGGTCACTTAGCTGGAGGGCATCTCAGGACAGCAGAGTCCACATGGTCAGGGGAAAGGTGGGAGGGGTGCTGTCTTATGAGTATTGACATGTGGATTTGGGGTGAGCTCTCCTAGGGAGGGAAGTGGCCCTGTCAGAGGGATGAGGCTTACTGGTAGGGGAGGGGCAGCGCAGGAGAGGGGAGAGGGAATGGTCAAGTTTGGGTCATCACAGGTGCATGTCTGTTGGGAGGAGGGGAAGGAGGGCTGACTGCCAGGTGTGGGGAAGAGAGTCAGAGGATGTTCTTGGGAGTACTAGGTAAGGAGCGTCTTTAGTGGCATGCAGTGGGAGGGCAGAATTGACCTGGGGGTGGGGGAAATGAGAGATGATTTATGATTATGAAAGAAATTGCACAATTATGTTTCACATGATGGAATTATGGAATGACAGGACATATGTATTGGCTCCCAAGTTACAGTAATTTTTTATAAAAATGTAGAGATACAGGAGTGAGTTTGGGACTCTCACTAAATCCTAGGTCTAATTTAAGACCAATTAGTTTTTACCGCATGGCTCTGCTCCATATTCACCTTCATGAAATTATCATTGAAGATGAGGGTGCTACAGCAGAGTGTGGTGAAGAAAACAGATGGTGCCTGCCTATCAATAGGAATAGTCTGAGGTCTTAAAGGCTTATATTCATACAAGCAGTTATCTAAGCGATGATTCAACTAAATGCACATGGAAGAATCACACCAGTGACTCACTCACTCTCTCACTCACTCACACTCACTCACTCTCACTCACTGACTCCCCACTCACTCTGACTCACTCTCACTCTCTCACTCACAAATGAAAAGAAAAAGAAGCACACCAGCTTGTGTGATACAGAAATGACAACTACAAAATTCAAATATAGTGAGAGAAAAGCATCAGAACAAAAATTATGAACCCTCAATTTGTGCGTTCATATGGGGGACAGTGGGAGCCCCAAACCCATCTGCAAAGTACCTAGTCAGGATGAGCCACTAGCAGATCCGCGTTAGCCACAGGGAAGCGTCTCAACCAGCCTTACTAACAGGCAGGGACCACTGTAATCTTGATGATGCTGGACAGACCTTGATACTTGGCCAGCTGACCACCCTACAGACAGGACCTGAATCTGTTCTGGGTGAAAGTATCTCTTGCTGGTTTCATGACAAAAATTTCTTCCCTGGCTTTTTGAATATTGTAAGGGTCTGTCCCTTCATACGCATATTTGTTTATTTGTCTGTTTACTATTATGTTTTAGTGTGGTTTTGTTTTTTATTGTTTTCTGTTGGGTTTCCCAGCTGTGAAGCACAGGAGGAGTGGCTACAAATGAGAATAACTGACACAAAGGGTTGTAGGGAATACAGGGGTGGGGGCAGGGGTGATGGGAAGGGTAAGGGGATCTCCGGAGTAAAGGGTAAAGGTAGGAGGGGAGAGGGAGCATGAGAATGGATTGTGGTTGCATAACTCATCTTGGAGGCAATTTGACCAGGGGAGGGAGAATGTTCTAAAACAATTGTGAGGGTAATTGTACAATTCTCCTTGATATGATTGAATGATTGAACTACTGAATTATGATATGGAAATTACTTGCCAATAAAACTATTGGGAAAAAACAAAGCAAAAAAGCAACAAAAAACCCTATTGTATGTGTATATATGTCTAAAATAATACTCTGACACGAATATTAATTTCTATAATCAGAAACATACATAATACTCCTGGCTGAGTTAATTGATGGGATTTTTTTATGCTTCTGCTGAGTTCACCAAAATTAAAATTATACCTTTACAAACACACACAAAATGTCTCATTTATATAACTTAAATATGAGTTTCCAGTTCAGTAAACTGCAAAAATAATCTAACATTTAAAAAATGAAGTCATTCCCAATAAAATGGTAAAAAGAATTAAATCATTATTTATATTATGAGTATATAAAACAAAAGAAAATTAGACATTCAGGGTATTTATTATATTATACTTGCTAGATTATCTATAAGCAAAATCTGTACCCAAAATCACTCTAACTTTAAATTTTACTAATTGTTTTCTTAATAGTCACACACACAAACAAAACCACTCACTCCCAAATATACCTTAAAAAACTAGACCTACAAATTTGAAGGCAGAGAAATATTAACTTGAAATAATTCACTTTAATTATGAATTAGTATTGTCATTTCTAGAAACGATGGTGATATCCAAACAATACACCAATGCCCATTTCCAATACATAAACTTGTAATGACCCTGGTGAAATATCATTGATACTTTGGTTTAGTAGACAACGTTTCATGTAAAAAAGGGAAATATCTAAAATTGATAAAAAGTTTTTAGGTTTTCTTATAAATGGTATTCTTACAAGTTCTCATCTTTCGGAACATGAAACAAGTTTCTAAGAAAACGTGCATGATTTCTAACGGCATGCGTCAGTGTCACGTGCAGAAGCCGGTCAGCTGCCATCTGACCCCTCACTGACCTCGTCCCAGTCTTTCCAGCAGGAAATCGTCTCGCAGGATGTGCCATCCTGGACTCCCTTCTGATTTCACTTCAGTCTGAAGGACATGACAGAATCTAAATATTCAAAGTCAATTTTTCAAAAGAGGAAGTAAAAGAAGTCCAAGCTACAAAACAAAATTTTCAATACCTGGTTTTACAATATGGGTGAAACCTAGACCAAGTATAAGTTGACTTTATTTATACATTAAGATCACATTATATGTTCAAATGTCTATAAAAAGAGCGCTGTGCTAATAACATAATTGAAATATCAAAAGAAAAATGGAAGCTAAAAACAAAACAAGCATACTTTCTGTGTGTGTGTGTATGCTAGGAAGTTATAACAAAACGAGGCTGGTATCGTTTTTAAAATCGTCTGACAACTAAAAGAGACTGATGTTATTTAACTTTCAGTGATAATGTATTATTAACTGATGGCAAAACATTTCAGCAGAAATAGGAATTAAATGGAGCTTTTCACCACAAAATAAACGAGAAAAGGAAGCTAACTTCATAGTGTGCTTAAAGTTTTATACATCTTATCGCATTAAATATTTCATAAAATTTTAAGCCAAATGCCTTTTACTTAGGTACATTCTCAGCCACGTAGTTATATGATTAAGCAAATGACAAAATTACAAATAATTCATTCATAAGACTTATGAAATACTGTCAGGCCAAGCAGTGCACTCTCATTTCATGGTACAACATTACCACCTCGTGGTATTATTTAAGTACTGCAACTTATGCAGCCCTGCTCTCAGCTGTGAGATTTCTTTCATTTCGGATACACTAACTTACTAGGAACTGGGTCCCCAAACAGGAGCGTGGGTGACATCGTGGTTATCCGTTGGGCTGTTAACCGCAAGGTTGGCAGTTCCAAACCACCAGCTACTCAGAGGGAGAAAGATGTGGCTTTCTACTCCCATAAGAGTAATAGTTTCAGCAACCCGCAGTGGCTTCTGACCCTGTGGGGTCACTATGAGTCAGCACTGAAAAATGAGGTGTGTGTGTGTGTGTGTGTGTGTGTGTGTGTGTGTGTGTGTGTGAGACCCTATGGGTCATCCTGTGGGGTCACTATGAGTCAGCACTGAGAAGTGAGGCGTGTGTGTGTGTGTGTGTGTGTGTGTGTGTGTGTAAAAAGAGCCCTAGTGGTGCAGTAGTTAAGCACCCAGCTGCTGACCAAGGATGAAAAGAGCTGATTAACTGCCACTGTTACAATGAAAGCCCAAACACGCTGCCTTTGAGTTGAATTCAACTCCTAACAACCGATAGGCTAGAATACAGCAGTTCCATAGGGTTTGCAGGCTTTACTCATCACATCACCTTCCTTCTGCAGAGATGAAAGCCTTGCAGGCCCTAGGTGGCACCTGTGGTCTGTCCTCTAGGCTTGCAGTTGTCACCACAGCAAGCTTTCAATTGCAAGCTCCTTCCCTGCTCGGTGAGATTAACATGCTTGCCCCACAAGCAAAATGATTATTAGCGAGAAATACCTGGCAAGGGGAACAGTGAAAGGCTTATTACATAGAGACACATCTTGCCAGAGGAGACAGGCAGGGGCCTAAAGCAACTTAAAGACCCCATCTTGCCTAACAAAGGAAAAGGAGAGGCTTTTCAAAGGAAGTTTCAAGAAGGGCATTAGGTTTATTCATAAAAGGAGATGGGGAATTCTAGAAATTGAGTTCACATAGATAGGGCTATGGGAATTCAGTGAGCATGGAATGACTGTTCAAAGGCTGGTGGGTGGGGTATCACTGCTTCTTATGGGATGATGTGCAAGCACCTGGCAGCCAGTTCCTCAGGTTAGTCCCCTGCCTGGGTGTTCTGTGCTCTTGGGCTCAACTGAGGTCAAAGGTGCCTGGTCTATTCCTGCTCTGATATTAAATCTGAACGGGTCAAATGCGGAATGCTGCAGATCAGGGAGTGAACCTAAAACACATAATTCTTACAGGAAGAAAAATACAGGAATTTTACAGGTGGTAAGAAATGGAAAATGTGGTCAGCTACTGTAATATGCCACATGTTTAAATGTTAACTGGGTGCATGTGAGTGAGCCTACAGGTATGGGTCTGAGGAGATACCTCAAAATCATCTGAACCTGGTGTGTGCGGGTGAGAAGCAGCCTCTGCCCGACCCTGTCTCACTGCCAGTCAGAATCAACGGGAAGATAGACAACAGTCACTGTGCCGTCGTAAGCACTGTTCTTAGAGGCAGAAGTAAAAGACAGGGTCCTCTCCTCATGGGGCTAACCATTTCTGCATATCTACTTATTCCATTCACAGAATAGACCACGGGAAAAGTCTCTTGGAATATGCAAGAATCCCATGACATTTCATTCGCACTGCCATCAAACCGCTGACCTTGCAGCTAGCTGCCCAACTCATACCCCCCTGTGCCGCCCGGAAGCTGCTGGGTCAATGTTGAAGTTGAAGGCAAACCCTTGAAATGTTCGATCAACTTCCATTTCAAGATTCGAAACATGCACTGGTGGCTTGAGGAAACAAAACCGAAAATAGTATTCTGGAATTATTCATTATCTTACTACCAAACCAGTAAGAGCTTAACCTCATTTCAATTTTGAAGGGAAAAATTAAAGTCAAATCCTCGAAAGCAAACAATATCGTCAAAACTCTATTATACAATCACATTAGCTCATTTCACTGTTTTCTTCAAGAAGACTGTTCAAAGTTCTAATTTTAGTCTTGTTTCATTTAACTTGAGAGGTTCTCATTAAACTGTATTAAGTCTGTTAAAAGTGATGAAAAAGTTTGGAAATAGTAGTGATGGTTATGCAACATGGTGATTGTAATAAATGTCCCTGAATTGTGTTTAAAAATGTTAAAAGAGCAAATGAGTTGTTATATTTGTTTTTCATTACAATACTTTTTTAATAAAATATATTTAAAAATCCGAGCATTGATTAATCTTAAACCTCTATTGTAAACTGTCACTAAGCTAGCCTTGGTGGCATAGTGGTTAAGCAGTGGGCTGCTATCTGGAGTGCCAGTAGTTCAAAACTACCAGCCACTCTGTAAGATAAAAATGAGGCCGTCTACTCCAGTAAAAGAGTTACAGTCTCAGGAAATACACAGGGACAGTTCTACCCTGTCCTGTGGGCTTGCTATAAGTCAGAATCAACTTGATGACAAACTTGAGCTTGGTATTTATAATTGGAATTAATAATATGCCTACAAGAGATTAAACTACCTAAGAATTCTTACTAAATAATAAAGGATATACAACAAATTGTTATACAAAAAACTGCTTTCTGGTTGGAAGCAAGAGAAGTGACATAGAACCCAAATCCTTAGAAATAAAGTAAGAATATCAATGCTTTTATAAGCATGCAGGTTTTTATATTCTTTGATGTGAAGCGTCTTCATTCCAGTTGGAACCTCTGAGTCCGCATCCATAAGCAAAGTCAAATCAGGACAGACCGTCCATGAAGTCTGCAGCAGTAGGTACCAGTTCACAGGCTCAAGTAACATCTCTTCACAATAAACCTTAACTATCACACATCTCAAGAAAGCTGCCTAAAAAAATCTTTGGGAATCATGGAGATGTTACCTTCAAATAATCAGCCTAAATAAACAAACAACACTAGATGAAAAGACCATGTATATATGTGTGGGGTCTTAAAGGCTTGTTTCCAAACAAGCTGTCATCTGAGTGAGATTCAACCAAGTCCACAGGGAAGAAGCACACCAACATCAGTGACCGAAGGATTGTAAATCATATCATCCAAAGCCAAAGGAAGGAATGGTATCAGTGTCTAAACTGTGGGATTCTGGTTTGCAGAAGGCTATGGATGACAGTGGGATCCAAATATGAGATCTACATAGGAAATAAGCCTCGGGTGATTTCCCTTGATTCCTAATAGAGGAAAGGGCATAACCCATTACAGAATGCGTTAAGAGAGATGACTACAGGAGATCACAATGATAAACACGACTTGAACGGCTGGTTAAAACCTTGTCAGTTGAGCACCCCCCCTCCCGATGCATGTTGGACTTGATCTAGTTTTTAACATTTCCTGGTTTTGCTTGTTTTCTTTCGCAGTGGGGTTTATCTGATGTCGCTTGTCATTGGGATAATCATCCTGAATTTTGGTATGTTTTTCTGTTTTCCCGTATCTCTACAGGTTCATCATGCAGGATTGCTGAACCTATAGAGATAGCACGTGAATCGGGGTTTCTGCAGGGTGAAGAGAGGGATGCAGTAAAGGGGCACTGGTATGACGGAGTTCAAGAAAGAAGAGAATGTTTGGAAATTGATTGTGGTAGCAGTTGTACGATACTACTTGATACAATTGAACTACAGGATAAAATCTCTATTAGCTCTCAATAAATTTTTTTTAAAGAGTTGAAATTGATCAAACATGCAATCAAGATGCATTGATAATCACCAGCAATTAGAAGGCAAAAGTTGGAAACAAAGAGGAAGGAAGAGTAGTTGGCAAATATGGTCATGATGAAGGTGGCGATCACAACAGAATTTTGCAAAACCAATGGCATGCTAATAGCAAATACCTTTTATTAGCGACACAAAGACAACCACACATGTGGACTTCTCCAGATAAAAGACACCGAAATCAAATTGACTAAAACCATGAGAGCCAAAATAAATCTGAGTATACCCCACATAAATTTCAAGATCTCAAAAATAAATTTGACACAGTAAACAATAATGTCAGAAGGCCAGATGAGGTGTGGGATGACAACAAGAACATCCGATGTGAAGAGAGCAAAAGGCAATTAGAAAGACAGGCAAGAGAGAATATTAGCACGGGTGTCAGAAGAGACTCTGACACTCACTCTTTATCACAGAGTAGCTAAGGCAAAATGAATACATGATGAAGGAAAAGAAGGAATAGAAGATGGTAGAGGTCACCTTGAAAAGACAAAGCAAAATATTCTAATGAAACATGCAAAGACCAGAAAGGAAGAACACACTCAGCATATCCTCAACTGAAAGAACCCAAGAAGTAACTCAAGCCTCGAGTTGCAATATTGAAAGATCCTATGCACAAAATACTGAATGATGCCAGAAGCATCAA